CTAAGACGTTGAAACATGGAGCTAATGATAGACTTGTTTGGCAATCTTCTATTAGGAAATCGCTTGGCGTATTCACGACGGGCAGCATTAGCATTACATACATACACAACGCCGCAACATTAAGCTATTTTGTCTGCCAAAATAAAGTATGAACATATATGCGTTGTATGCGTAAAATGAAAGTGTTTTATATGTATATATGTTGTAAAATGAAAGTGTTTTGTTATTTATAATTCTTTTTATTTATATTTCTTATTATTAAATTATAATATTATTATTATATTTATATTTCTTATAAATATATTTCTTTTTTTTGTATTATTATATTTCTTTTCGTCTATTTCAACTTCGATAAATATGACATTTGTTTTTGTCTATTTCATATATATGTTGTAAAATAAAAGTATTTTGTTATTATTATATTTGTTTCTGTGTTTTTGAATTTCATACGAAGATAGGGATTATCAGTGCCTTATCAGAATTATCAGTGTTCAGGTTATAAACATAGGCAGATAGCAGTCCGCGCCGAACAGACTGTTCAGAAGTACCAATTTTTGCAGTTTGGCCTCTTAACCCTGAAACGACCTGTATAAAATTGAAGGGAATTTGATTTCAAAATTCTAATTGATGAAGATAGGAGGAGCGAAAATCAGCAAAAGTAGGATCTATCCACAAAACCGAATTATGAAATTAACACGATCCTCAGAAAACAAAAGAGAGTGCTGAGTTGCTAAATCACACAGCATACCCAATAGTACAAAAGACATTATTTAAATAATTACATTATTTAAAAGCAAATATGTGGTGTCTTAGTATATGTGATGATAGAGGATCCCCAACGAGTCCAAAATAAGTCTCTGCCGTTATATCCATCTGCTCCCTTCCAACCCCGAGCTTCTGCAAGAGATCACTTGTAGTAAGAGGAATGGTTCCCCTACTTCCGAACCCTAGAACTTTAACTGAGAAGTTTCTTTCTCCGGATTCATCCCTATAATTCTCTTTTAAGTCGGGGATGCATTTCTTATAAATCTCTTCTTTCTCAGACTGCTATTTAAAGCCCTGGTCTTGATCGTTTGTTTCAAACCTGATCGTGTGATCCACTATAAGCCCCTCCTTTTCTGTTGCATTAAACGCTAAAATGTCAACGAAATGTAAAATATTTAAAAGGTGACAACAATAAGAACATACTTGTCCAGATATTTGACCTTTTAATTCGTTTAAATAAATTATTTATCTTTATTTTTCACTTGCTAGTAGTCAGTATTTCAGAGGTGCCCAGAAAGCGCAATTTCCATAAAAATTTTTGATGAGGCCATATTTTCGTGGGGTTTCGAATTTTTTGATGGGTACCCATTTTAATTTCTTAAAAGGGGAAACATGTCCCATCGACGTTAGGGTGTTTAAATATCCCTGTTGTATATTTAAAATTTATGACTTTTATCAAGTATTTGTAGAAAGTATAACGGTACATCATTTAAAAGAAATATTAAAAAAAAAAAGTCTTTTAAACGTATAAAAATCCACACGAATAAAGACAATCATACAATAAATAGCCTGAATGCTTTTAATAAACATTAATTAAGTTACTTTTAGAATTGAACAGAGATAATTATAAATATACAAATTTGTGTCAAGAAAAATTTTATTTGATTTATTATGATTAAAATGTCCAAATGTGACGTTGAATACTTAGCTAGAAAATCAAATTTATACACCATTTATCCTCAACAAAACTATAATTAAAAAAAATAAAAGATAACAATCACTACTAACGAAGATATGTTGAATCATTTAAGGATTAGTCATAGTGATTATTCTGTTACGTGTTTGTCGGCAACCTTCAACATCCAACTTGTTCGTCAGAGACAGGTTCTAAGAAACATTTTCATTTTTTATTTAAATTATTCCAAAACGCTTCAAGCTTCCAATTAATTACAAAAAAACTCATATACATGACTATAATAAGGTCTATTTGGACATAAGGGGTTGAGCTTTGGGGCTCCACATCGAACTCCTCTCGTATCCAACCCTTATAATCCAAAATACTTGGTAAAATCATCAATGCTCCTTAGTTTTTTAAAAATATAATCATCCATAACGACCTTAATATGTTTCCGAATTGGCGCAATTCAGACACCTATCCTTCCATAATAAACTTCAGAAGCATCCTAATGCTCTCGTCTTTAACCTTGCTTCCTCTACGATCCCTGATTACCCCCCAATGCTGTCTGATAAGAAGATAGTCTAGTGATTTAAAGCTCCTAATTTAGATGCTTTATTAGAGTGCTACCAATGGATAGATTCTCTATAAGTATTTTCATGCCATTGTATTTCTCTGTATCACATTTACTGGATGTATATTTATCTGTGTACAGTTGTAAATTTCATGAATAACAAAAAAATATTCCAGATGCAATGTGGACTATTAAATCTTTTTATTTTTGTTTTTTTAGCATTTATTTTAGGTTGTAATGATTAAATATTCTACAATATTTAATGACAATGGTTTACCTCTAAATCCTTGTAAATATAAAGAAAGTAAGTTTGACTTAACGAGATTTTAGAAATAAGCCATCGGTACGCAATTCAATGAATTCTAAAAAAATATATATATATTTTTCAAAGCATGAGACGATCCTAATAAATCATTATTTATTCCTTTTAAATATTCATGTGAGTCGTTGGTCGTAAACGTGGATGTTCTTTAATCTCTTAGTCAGACAACGTGCGGATTTTTTTTTTTTTTCAAATTATGTTTCATCATCTTAATACGTTTAATCTTTTCATCATAGATTCTATTTTAACTACCGTCCTGGAAGAATTTTTTCTAGAAACTTAAATTTTCTCAGATTTCACTTATCGCCTAACTACATCGAAAATAGTTCAATAGTTCTCAAAAGAAAGAAAGGTCCAAATAAATAAATAAAGAGACAATGTTTTTTAAATAAATTGTTTTGGACACAGTTAAACGTACTTTGGCAAAATTTTGAAAAATAATTTGGTAGTTCACTATACTTCAATCACCTTTGGTAGTATAACTTATTTTTGAAAATCTAAAAGACTAGACTTAATAAATAAATATATATATATATATATATATATATATATATATATATATATTTACAATTATATATATAATTACAAATATATATATATATATATATTTATATGTTTTCTCTTCAAATATATATCCGCACCTGTCATGGTATTGACAATAAACAGACGTGTTGTGATAAATAAGGATCGACCATAAGTAATATAAAAATAAACCTCTGCTGCAGCAAGTTATTTACTTCTTTGATTTAAGTGAGGAGATCTCTCATCCAGCTCCTTTTTAGTCTCCTCCTGATGGGCATGTCAGCCGTGGCCATGTCGTTTATAAGTCTGTTTGTGTGTCGGTGTAGTTTGAGATGAAAACGAGAGTAGAGAGTACGTATGTGTTGGTCTTTAGCTGGTTGTCGTAAGTCGTTATGTAAAGTTTTGTTGTTAACGTACCAGGAGCTCCTGTTATAAGTCGTAAAATTTTGGATTGAAATAACTGTAGTTTTTGTAAGTGCGTCTTTTTTGCCGAACCGTAAATCTGAGAGGAGTATGTCCAGACTTAATATATATTTTAATTCTTTTTTTATATTTATGAATTTCATAATTCAGGACATTTTAATAATACTCTTAGCACTTCGCTATATACAGAAATGCTATATAAACTTTAGTACTGTATATAGCTATTTCCCTCTCCCTATGAATTTATGAAATTGAACATGAGTACATGTTGCCGAAATTGACAAAATTTCTGCTGAACTTATCAAAGGGTTTTGAGAAACTCGTTCTTTAAAACACACCTATTGGTAAAAATTATCTGCGATAAACGAACAATGCAACCAGTGGAAAAAATCTATACTTATTCATATAAATAAAAATAAATAAATAAAAATATGGATTGTAATAACTATAAAAGCATTTCATACTTTCCACAGGCGAATCCACGGGGAGAGCTTTCGGGCTGAAGCTCCCTCCCCCCCCCCCCTCTTCCTTCCCTCATTATAAATGGTAAAGTGTAACCATGTTTTATGGTAAAAAATAGTAAAAAAATTAATTCTGAAAGTATTATTGTTCGTGTAATTAGAGAACTTAAATATAATACTTATAAATATAATATAAGTATTATATTTAAGAGAACTTCAAGAATCACTTAAACACTATTTCATATAAGTAGTTAATTTCTTTCTTTTTTTTCCTTAGTAATTATCATTATATATATAAAAAAAAGCTTTCAGGGTGAAGCCCCCCTCCTCCCAAAATGAAATCCTGAATCTGCTAGTGCTCTTTTCAATATATTATAAAATATTTACGTTAATTCAACTAGTAATAAACCATAACAGTAAATGAAAAAAAAAACAGTTAGGTTAAAAAGATGTAGTTTATCAGATATTATAGACTTCAAAAACTCTTATGATTATATTGTCAGTACGAAATTATAAAATATTTTGTCTAAACAAAGAATATCAAAAATTCAATTTGATTCATTAAACTTGTGCATGCCCAAAATTCCACAATTTTTATTCCGCAATTTTTGTAGCCCGTTACGATTAAAAAAAAAAAGATATTTACTTCCTCTAGTTTAGTTCAATCATTAATTAATTTATTATAATAATAACAGCGGATTGGTGGTTGATTGTAGTGAATAATTGAAGAGAAGTTGGTTGGGGAGTTACGCCAAAATACATAGTAAAAATAAATAAATCATATTTTTTTTTTTTGCCGATGTTTCGGCCCAATATTCAAGCTTCACTAAAGTTTCCCGTAAGGTTATCTTATTGAATCTTAATCTTACGAGAACCTTTCGTGAGATCAGCCCTGAACTTTGGGCAGAAACATCCGCAAAAATAAATATCATTATATCGTTTTACTTATTATTTTGACTGAACATCCTGACCAACTTCTCTTCCATTATAATAGTAATTCTAAGTAATTGATATTTTCCACATATACATGTAACTTACCTTTGACATCTGAAAACCAGACATAGGTTCTACGATGGGGCAATTTCCGAGATGGTAAGTGTGGGCTGCAGCCACTGCAAGAACTGCAGCAGCTAGGATTAAGCAGTATGTAGCTCTCATTTTCTTGCAGAATCTGCAAAAAGTGCAAAAATTATGGTCAAAACATTAATACCCAATTGTCATATTAATACCTTAAGTATTAATCGAAGGAGTCTGAAGATGTTGAAGTGAAATGCAGAAATTAGTAATGTTAAAATTGAAATATTTTTATATTTTAATTAATATATTTTTGTAACAATAATGTTTCAGTCGAACAGTTTTTTTTTAACCAAAGACCGATTTTTGCTTCCAGAATACTAAAATTAGTCTAATGTTGGTACTTCATTGAATACTCGCGCTCCCAGGCCGAGGTGCTGCAATTCTGACCCCTCCAGAAACGAGTTATCCTCTCAAAAAATATAGTTTGCAGATAGTTTGCAATCTATATAGAACGAAAGTCCACCTAGCAAGTTGAAATTTGTTAAAAAATCAGTGAAGCCTTGGACCACATCAAACAATAGTAATTGCAGAGAAGAGGTCGCCGTGGCTAGATTAAGAATAGGACACACAAATCTAACTCATACATCTCATTATTAAAGAGCCACTATCAATATGTCAACAATGCAATAGCTATCTGTCATTCATATTTTTCAGGAATGCCCTTATTATTATACCTCTAGTTTAAACAGATTATCTCTAAGACCGGATATATCAATAGTATTAAACAATGACGAATCAAACATTAAAACAGTTATAAAATTTCTTAAATTCCATAGACTGTTAAATAAAAAATATAGAAATAAATATATTTTTTAGTTTTGTTGTAGTTTTAATTTTTATTTATTTCATTTTTCATAGGTCCTTAAATATCTTTCATATATTATTCTATTTATTTATTGTTAGTTTTTGATTAATGATTTTTTTTTTAGGAGTTTATGAACTCAACATACAACCAAAATAACTGACTCACAGTGGTTGATGACCCTAGAGTTTTACGCCTTAAACCCCAAACCATTAACAACTTCACTGAATAGGCTATCGTTGACATCAAATATCAAAATTTATGAAATCAACTCAACGTCATTAGCTGTACAGACTCCTTTTTATCAAATTATTGACTTCTGTCTAAAATTTGGAGCGTTTTCAATCCAGAGATCGGTAAATTCGGTCTATATAATATGGTATTAAAAATTGTTGAGTGTCCAATTGATATAATTAACTGAGATAATTTAATAATAAAATTGAGGAAAAACGTGACATAAAAAATATTTGGCCTTTTGGCGTGATCTCAAAACCTTTTTTGAGCACCTTTTTTTCTCGATTTTGTGATTAAATTATCTTACAATTTAAGTGGAAAACAAATGGGTATTCATAAATATTTAATACCCGATTAAACTAATTAATTTAAAGAGAAAACGCCCAACTTCTGGGAATTTTCGTAGATAAAAAATAGTAGTTTAGGTTAAGATGAAACAATTTCATGAAGTTTTAAACGGATGTGATAAAAAGAGGTCTGTACCACCGATTATAAATACATAAAGGAATATAGAGAGACTTTAAAGTTTAAAAACATATGCGTAGACAGACTTCTACAACAAAAACTGGTCCACCATTCAACTGAGGATAAAAAGAAGCGGTCTAATCCTTCCTCAACAAAAAACAACTCATCTGCATCCCTTTTTGGTAGTCACGGAAGAACATTCATGGATGGAAGTAGATTTACTTTCTCACACACTACCATTTTAACTATTATTTATTTTCTTATTACTTATAATTCTTGTTTCATATAATTTTCTTGTTTCTTTAAATTTTCCTATCTTTTTTTGTCGCCATTTAATTTTGTTTAAACCTTTCTGTATACATTTTATCTGTTGCAGATCTATTTCATTGAAGTGGTCCATATATTTGGACTCAAACGTCGCATAGTGTAGCGACTACTTGATATATTATTTCTAAAAGGTGTTTTTTGTCGGTACGCCATAACTTCGTCAATTCTTCATCAAATCCAATGATTGACCACTCATTTTGAAGATATTCTTTTCCTTCACATGTGAAAAATAGTCACACCCTCCAAAATTTCTAGGAAAAAAGTTATATAGGAAAATAAACTTTATTTGCGAATAACTCAAAAAGTATGCATTTTTCCTGGCTTGCACCCACGATAATTAGAAATATTACTAAATTACATGCAAAACAAAAAAAAATCGGACAATTATTACAAAGATACAGTCCATTAGATTTGGTATACTTAATAATTTTATCCTGTTTAAAGATACTGCATTTACTATTCTACCACTCTTTCATGACTGACTTTATTATTTCTTTAAGGCATTTTTTTTCCGCAGATTTTAAATTTTTTAATAATTTGAAAATCCCATGATCGAGGCTTCATTTTGAATATTACTTTCCGCACAGCCTTTAAAAATATACCCTAACAAAGCAATTTGTACAAATATTTTGATTTATTATGTTTAATGGAGTAGTTTAATTGACCAAGGAAAAACAATTAATTCTTCCCGCACATAATGCATAGGATCTACTTATTTCCATATTGTTTCGTTATTCCTTTACTAAACCAAATTTCTGCTAATTATTCGCAGGGACCAGCTAGTACATATTATAAAAATCTTATTTTTATACTTGAAAGGTTTATTTATTTATTTTTTTTTAGGTTACTAAAAACACAAACATAGTAAGGAAAGTCATTTACTATAATTTTAAGTTAAATAAAATATACACAGAAAAACTTTTTTAAAAAATCGCAAAAACACTGAGCTATATATAAACCTGATTATAGTGATTACTGTTTTGTCGAATTTTCCTTTAACATTCATTTGACCATGGGTTATAATTCTTGATAACTAAGTAAGATTTTTAAGCTGCGTTTATTCATAATGCTCCTTACAATATTATTAAGAAGAAAGTTCGGTTAAAGAAGTCAGAATTGTCATAAGTGGACTTATATTTATTGATTGCCTAGGTTTAGACTTACCTTATAGGTCTTCATCAAGAGTGCCCGGTGGTGTCGGATAACGTGAGACAACTAACCGATCCAGGATTTAATTTGTAATTATATATATATATATACATATATATATATATATATATATATATATATATATATATATATATATATATATATATATATATATATATATATATATATATATATATATATATTATGGGGTTATAAAAATAATTGGCTAAATACATATTTTATTTATAAAAATTTAAAAAATGTTTTTCATGTAAAGTGGTTATGAAACTGTTTTTTTTTTTTTTTCTCCCAAATCTCTGTCATGGGAATTGATCCGTATTTATCAGTGACCAAGGTAATATTTCTAGCTCTGATATTTATGTTTAAAATAAAGAAACCTCATTGCTTCAATTATTAGTTTTAAATAAATAAATAGTTTTATTTCATCATAACCTATATCTATTTTATTTACGAAAACTCTTGGGATTGGGGCGTTTTCAATCTGGAGGGGGGTAAACTTCGTCTATTTAATTAGGTACTAAAAACTCGTAAATACACATTTACTTTTATGTACTTGGATCGTAAGATAATTTTATCACAAAATCGAGAAAAAATGTGGCCTTCAAAAATAATGGGCCGTTTGGCGTGACCTACACCCCTAAATTTTCAAAATAACGAGGTTATATAGGACAAACTGCCCAATATTTTTGTAGACAAAGTTTGCCCCCCTCCAGATTGAAAACGTCCTAATTCCAAGAGTTTTCGTAAATAAATAGTTATAGGTTACGATGAGATGAAACTATTTACGAAGTTTCAGGTGGATGTTAATAATTCGATAAAAAGTGGTCTGTACCACGGACTATTATTACAATAAATTCCAAATCATGGAAAGTTAAATAATAAAAACTTTTCAACAGTTAATTTTACTAATTTTTGCTTATAGCACGGCTACTAATAAGTAATTGGATAGAAAATAACATCATTTCTTTACATAACTTGAGAAGATTCTCAAGTTTTGGCCTAATAAACCTCCACTTAATCAATATAGACTTAAAGCCTAACGAGGAGGTTTTCCTAAAAGTGGAGTACCTGTAGTATAGTTGGATAACGATAAAAAAAAATTATAATTTTTTAAAAAAAGAACTTAGCTTAGTTTAGCCGCTTAAAAGTTCTCTCTAGATGGTTTTAATAATTACAAACTCTCTTTGCATTTCAATTAAATTTTACTAGTTTACAGTGAATCAAATGTTAATTAATTAAATTGAATAATCCTTTTGTTATCGCTTCCTATTCAACAAAAAACATGGCTTATTTAAAGAAGCACAAAACTTGGATTTTCTACTTTTTTTTGTTTAATATTGGCACATTGTTTATATGAACTTTTTTATTGGTCATGAGGTTTGCTATCACCCTATAAAAATTTCACAATACGGAACATAAAAATGATATGTTAAAATGTTTCAAATTAAAAGTGTTTTATCTTGTAGACATTTTAGATGTTATATATATTTAAATTAGCATTATTTTTAATTAAAACTAAGCCAAAATATCGATCTATTGCATTGAAGTTTTTTATCCGTTTTAATATTTTATCAAATTTTATAAAAATTAGGTTTCTTCTAAGACTTTTTTTTAGAAGAAGTATTGAATTTAAGTCTAAGCCTAAGAAATTCATTAAAGGGCTTATTATATTATATTTTAAGAAACGTTAATATTTTATTCATCAACTGATTAATATGTATCATCAATTGCTTGCTTTGCCATTTTAGGTATGTTTTCATTACTAATGGTTTTAAGATTTTTTTTTTTAAATAGCCTTATACATACAAAGCATATATTCAATTAAGACATAATATAAAATCTTCGTTGCAATCAACAATCATTGCAGTTGGTGTATAATTAGAAAGTGTTCCGTTACACGGTGCTAGGAGATGCTAACAACCAGAACATTATAAAGATATATTTACTAAGGGTTCCCAAAACATTATTAACGCTTGTACTAATAATAAATGACGGTAACAAATTAAACATTTTAATAGATGACTCAGAGAACATAGAGATTAGAGGTTAACACAGGAAGAGGTGAATCAGATCGTTTAGAGTCTAGCTTCCTGCTT